AAAAAGACGTCACCGAGATGGCAGACCTGAGAAAGTCAAATGAAGACACCCTACAAACAGCAAAAGAACTGCTCGCACAGGCCAAACAAACCCTCCGCCCTCAGGAGAGTGCAAATAAGTCATCCCCAGGAGAAATGCTTAGCAAAACCAGGGAAAAACTTATGAGGGTCCCTGAAAGAAAAACCCCTGCCAACAGTAAGGACAACAAATAAACAAGCTTAACTACCAAATCAATAGTAAACCTCAAATAACAAGAATGGCAGGAACAACGAAAATAATCCAATGGAACTGTAGGGGAATTAAACAGAACATACACTCCGTCATACAAAAACACAACACAAACCACGCAATATTCGCCCTACAGGAAACACTGCTAAAACCTAAGGATAAGTTTAGATGTCCAGGTTACACTGTACTAAGGAACGATAGAACTGAAGATAAAGGAGGTGGGGTAGCTATCCTAGTACAGGAGAATAGTAACATAATAGACTGGGAAAGCTACAGAACGGAAAACTTAGAAGGAATCGAGGTAACCATAAAGTACAAAGAAGGACATCTCAAACTAATCAACCTGTACTGTCCAAAAGGGAAATTAAACGACACAGACCTCACACAAATAGAAAAAAGGTTGATCGATCAAACAATAATTGTCGGCGACTTCAATGCACACCACAATATGTGGGGGAACAGGAAAAATACTTTAGCTGGGAAAAAACTGGTGGAATTCGCCGACAAAAATAGCCTCGCAATACTAAACGATGGTACATTAACCTGGGTCAGTCCAAAAATCGGCCAGGAAGACTCCGCCATAGACCTCTGTTTCACGACAGAGAATTGCCCTAACGCACAGTGGAGCGTAGAAGAGTCAAGCCCGACAGACCACCTACCCATTATAATTACCATCGAAGCCAGGCCCGTCAGAAGCTCAACCTGCTCCAAACCATCCTTCTCTTATAAAAAAGCAAACTGGCCGGCTTTCATCTCAGAGATCAAACATCTCCGCCTAGACAGTATCAAGGACAATGACGTCGATAAGTATGCCGAATCCCTAACCCACAACATCCTCAACATAGCCATAAAACACATCCCAAACAGAAATATGCCGGAATACCTAACCGGGTCACTAAGCCGCCACAGCAGCACACCCAAAAATAGAAACCCAGTCCCCTGGTGGAACGAAAAGTGCCAACAGGCGGTGAATGCAACCAAAAAGTCCCTTAGAAAGTTCAGGAGAAACAAGACTAGGGAAAATAAGGAAACGTACAGAGCCTGTAGAAACGCAGCCAATGCTATCATCAGGGCGGAAAAAGAAACCCATTGGAGAAAATTTTGCCAATCTATAGGCCCATCCAGCCACGTCACAGACATCTGGAGGAAGATGAAGGCTATACAAGGGTCCTCAACAAAAGAAATAATGCCAGCCATAAAGCGGCCCGAGCTTGCAACAACAGATAAAGAGAAGGCCGAAGTTCTAGCTAAACACTTCCACCAGACGAAAGCCTAGGTAAAGCCGAGACAGACAGAAGAGAAAGAATGAAAAATAACCTGGAGGACCGGAACGCTCACACGGGCCACGCCGATTACCTCAACGCTCCAATTACAGTACAAGAAATTATAAACGCTATAAACAAAAAAAAGAACACTGCTTCAGGCACAGACATACTTAGCTATGAATTAATTAAAAAGCTGCCATTAGAAACAATTCTTATTATAGCCGACCTTTTTAACCTTATCTGGAGCTCAGGAAAAATCCCAGTAAAATGGAAACTAGCCACAATAATTCCCATCCTTAAACCAGATAAATCCCCACACGAAGCAGAGTCGTATCGGCCCATATCCCTGACGTCTCATCTAGGAAAAGTTCTGGAAACAGTTGTCAACACAAGACTAAACTTCTTCCTAGAAAAAAATAATTTACTGAGTCTTAACCAGTCAGGCTTCAGAAAAAATCGAAGTACAGTGGACCAGATACTTCGACTGGAAAGCGACGTCAAGGCTGCCACCAAAAAAAGGGAACACACAGTAGCCATTTTTCTCGACGTGGCCAAAGCCTACGACACCTGCTGGACATGGGCGATAACCCACAAAATTAAAAAATTAGGAATAGGAGGCCCCCTACTTAGTTATATAACAGACTTTTTATCAGACAGAATGATGCAGGTCAGGGTAAACGACCAATATTCCAACACATACAAGCTAGAAAATGGAATACCCCAGGGATCGGTCATTGCCCCCACACTATTCTCCATCATGGTGAACGACCTAGATAGGGAATTCACGGACGTAAAGAACTCCCTGTCCCAATATGCTGACGACTCCTCCACATGGCGGTCAGGCAAGTCCATTACTAAAATTAACAGGGAGTTACAGGCTCAGTTGGATAAAATGATGGAGTGGATGAACCAATGGGGATTCAAGATAAACGCAGCCAAAACAGTGGGAATGGTCTTCACTCATAAAAAATCACGCACCATCACCAAACAGGTCTCACTAAAAATTAACAATACAGTCATAAAAATAGCCCAGGCCACAAGGTTCCTAGGAGTCACTCTTGACGCCATGCTGACCTGGAACACACATATAGAAGGCATAGAACAAAGCTGCAAGGGTATGCTCAATATGATGAGATACCTAAAAGGTCACAGCTGGGGTGCCAGGACTGAGTGCCTGTTAACTTTTTACAAATCCTTTGTAAGGGGCAAAATAGACTATGCCAGCATAGTCTATGACTCGGCCTCAAACTACACAAAAAAAAACCCTCGACAAAATACAGAACCAGGCCCTTAACATAATTGCCGGTTGCAATAGTAGTACCTCCAAAGAAGCCCTAGAGGTCCTCCTGGGAGTAATCCCCCTCTCACTCCGCAGGAAGGAACTCAGGCTAAACTACTGGGCCAAAGTAAAACATCAAAACCACCCAACCTCAGCGGCCTTCCTACCAGTGCTACCCAGGGCATGGGGAATCCCCATTGGGAAATTCAGCCCCCCCGCCAGCTGGAAAACACCGGGGGAACTGGAATCCTGCAACCAAACCTCAATCGCGGATCAAAACTTAGTCATCCACAAACCTATAGTCCCCCCGTGGGAACTGACATCCCCATCATTACACACAGACCTGCACAATCAGATAAATAAAAAAGAGGACCCAGTAATGGCCCGTATTGAGGCTTCAAATGAGATAGAAAGGATAACAACCAATAGCCTAACCATCTACACAGATAAACGAGAAAGTGGGAGCAGGGTTCCACATCCCCCACCTCAACCACTCCAAAAGCTTTAGGTTGACAGACGGCGCCTCCATTTTCACTGCCGAACTAACGGCCATCCTTATGGCCCTTGAGTACACCCCAATAACCCCACATACCAGCATCAGCATCCTATCGGACTCCCTGTCAGCATTACAGGCCATTAAAGGGGGAGAATGCTGCAGGGACGACATTGCAGAAGAAATTCTTCACAAATGTTCCGAGTGGAAACAAAGGGGTCGCTCGGTGCAAATGATCTGGATTCCCTCCCATATCGGCATACAAGGTAACGAGAATGCCGACAAAGCTGCTAAAAAGGGAGTGGAATCCAGAGCTATTGTGAAAACGGGAATAGGCTATTCCGAAATGAAGGCTACTATAAAGAAACAAATAAAAGAAGAATGGATTCAAAAATGGAACGCAAGCGACAAGGGTAGGCACGCCCACAACATACTACGTCCACCCGACGGGAGACTGCAGGTTACAGAAGACCAAAGGCCACCCATTAATAAAAAAATTACAAGGCTGCGTCTAGGTTCAGCCTCCTTCATTCACACAAAGAAATGGTGCCACACCTGCAATGAAATAAACACAATAGACCACTACCTAATACACTGTAAGGCATACAACAATCAAAGAAAAGAACTCATCAACTACTTCCAGACAAACAAAAACTCATTATTAACAACAGAAACATTACTGGCTATGGACGCCCCATCCACTCTGCTTAGCCTGTTAAAAAAATTTGTGCACAAAACCGAAGAAACAATATAACAAGCTGTAAAGATAAAATAAGATTCACCCAACAACAAAATACTAATCCCGCACAATAAAAAACCACATCCAAAAATGAAAGGAAAACAAATTAAACTAAACTGTACATACACAAAAACCAAAATCTAACCACCAAAAAAAAAAAAAAAAAAAAAAAAAAAAAAAAAAAAAAAAAAAAAAAAAAAAAAAAAAAAAAAACAGTCTGCGATATAAACGTAAGTTTGAAAGCGGACTTTACACCCCAATCAACAACAACAACATCATACGATGTCTTTCAGTGGAGTCACTGTCGGATGAGATCGTCCGGGACCTGACTGTTCCCGCCTCCTCCACCAGCAAGAGCAGACGTGAAAAAACCAGCGCGGAGAATAAAGTTTTCACGGCCGTTGTCCTGGGCGGTTCCTTCTCCTTCATCTTCGTCATCTTCATCGCCGTCATCCTTCTGTCTGACGCGACGAGAATCATCACTGACCTCCAGATGAGAATGTGCAGGAACATCCGCGGAAGAAAGTAGTGCAGAAACGAGAAATGCTTATTTTGAACTTTGCGAATATTTTGTAATTGTACAATGTTTGCAATATTTCTGCTTAATAAATATACTTGTTGAGCTAATATTATCTAATATTAGCTAATATCATATTAATCGTATCTGTTATTTAAAATTTTAGGTATGCCAAGCAATGCGACATGACTTATTGATGTCCGATTGAGGCTCATTCACTAGAAATATTGCATTCGGTGTTTCTCTCAGAAAATATATACTTTTTCTATACTTCCCATCGCCCCAGAAAATTAAGTCTGCCCCCCCCCCCCCCCCCCCACCAAAACAAAAGTTTCAACAAAAACAAATGATTTCATTCCATCCAAAATCAGTCAGCTCTCTATTTACAGGTGATCTCTGTGGTCATAATGAGAGTATCTTTTAAAATTAACACAATATTTTAAAAGTAAGCTTTATTTGAATAGGCCAATATCATTATGTTACATAAAATATGTTTTTAATCAGTAAACAGTCATCTATTTACTTAAAAGAAATGAATAATAAAAAATGTTTGTTTAGATTCAAGGTTTAATTTTAAGGAGGAAAAAATATATCTTTCAATAAACTACAAGTATTTAATATTTGAAATTTGTTTTTAAGCGGTGAAAATAATTGGGTTTTAACATTTTAAAAAAATCTAATAGCAGTATTCACATTAAAAATGTAAAACAAATATAACCTTTACCAATGCTATATAAACTAAAGCAGTAAGTATACACAAGCGCATACACGTGTAATGAGAGTTATAGAAAATGTAGTTAGTTGGTTTGTAGGTCATCTAAACTCAAGTTAGCTTGGCCTTTGTTGAATCCACCAAAAGATGTTTGATTTCGTTTATGTTTTCTGTTAGAAGAAACAAAATATAACTTAAGCAAAGGCGTAGTGAGGGGGGGGGTGGGGGTGAGGAACGCACCGGGTGACACCATTTAGGGGGGGGGGGATGAAACCAAAGCAAAAAATAGCAAAATATATAGAGAAAAACTTGAAGGGGGTGCAAATCGAAAGTTTTTGGGGGGGGGGAATGCAAATCTAAAGTTTGAGGGGGGGTGCAAATCGAAAATTTGAAAGTTAGCCCCCGGGAAGGGTCGCTATTACTCTGGGGGGTGACACCATTAAGTACCACATCGGGTGTTACCCGACCTCGCTACGCCACTGAACTAAGGTAGTGTATTTTTCTATATTCATATGATTATTTACGTGTTTGTGTATCTACTAGTCACCGGTTGCCGTTACTCGTGAATTAAGGCTTATATATATTTTAAATGTTATGCTTGTTTGAGAAATATATTTTATATTATAGTTATTTACCACACGTTGAACGATATTAGTGACAAATCAAAGAAATAACTAAATAGCTAAAAACATAGGCTTCAAATATCTATTAGAACTATTAAAACCAAATTATATACATTATTCATCAACACAACACCGTATTAAATTCCCGTACTGATTAAGCGACTTGGATGATTAAGTTAAAAACCCGTCTATTCAATTGTATTTTCGTTATTTTAATCTAATTTATTTTTATTATTTTTGGCCGAGAATTTCTTAATAAAATGTATTAATGATCAAATCATAATTTAAATCAACTTACCTTATTAGGATGAACATTACAACTGCAACTATAACGACACCTACTACAATACCAACGGTCAGACCAGATATCAGAGCAATATGATCATCGTTCACTAAAATAGAGAAAGAAGAAAATAAAAAATTATAAAAACGATCTTATTTCAATACATTAAAAAACTTCAAACAATTATTCCTCAACAACCATCCACATTTTAAATAACGTAAATTACCATTCACAGTAATGTCCTTCTTGGTATTTAGATCATTGCTGGGCAGTAAGTTTGGGTAAATATCCTGAAAAGTAACCGGTTCATTTGTGCATTGGTCCATGGAATAGGATCCTTTGCTTGATGTTGTGGTGTCTGTGGATGTTTGATAAAGACAAATGATGCACGTGAGCCTAAATCTTTAGTCGAAAATAAATTTTAAAAACTTATATTTCTAACATAACAAAATGTAATTATTTTAAAAATGTGATTAATTACCTCCTGGGCATTTATTGCATTGACTCATTTTAGGCTGCTCTTGGAAATACCCTTTGTCACAAAGTACACAAGAACCATTACCATCTGAATAAGATCCTGCTGGGCAGTCCACTATGTAAAAAATAAAAACAAATTAGATCATACAAATTATTTATTTGTTAAAAATATTTAGATTTTCTGTGCTAAAATATTCAGAGTATATTAACTACTCTATTTAGAGACTCAAAAAAGAGATTTTTTTTTGTGTTTAATTTCACAAACTACCATTACTTCTCACCACAAAATCCATTGTAATATCCAGATCCTTTTTGACAAACGATTTTGGTTTGAACAGATTCCACATTTCCACTCGGATAATTTGGACCAAGAAACAATATTAACCCATCTTCAGTTTTGTTTACCAATTGGTTAAGAAGATTTTCTAAATTTATCAGCTTTTCTATTTCATGCTCTGCATAATTTTCTGAAATTAAGTCATAATGTTTATTTATTGATTTACTAATTTAAATGTTGAGAGGACAAAAGGTCCAACGTTGTAAATGGGATGGGGAACATTTTTTTTTAAATATTGCTTTTCTTTCTTTGTCTATATAAAGGATTTTTTGCTAAATAATTTAATTAAACGAATAGTTTACCAGGAAGGGAGGAATTTTTCGTCGGGTCAATTTCAGCACTTCTTGTCAATGACAAATTTATAGTTACTGTTAACGTTCCTGAAAACAAATGTGGTTAAATTAATTTGGATGTGAAAGCAGATAGTATTGTTTTAAATTATATTATAAGTTATGTTATGAACATGCAGGTCTAGTTAATTAATAATTAAAACATTAATTAATGTTGTTCGAATTATTTCAGGATCTCTTTCTAAAACATTTTGAAAATTATTATTTATAAAATTAAATGAATATATTTTCATTTTTCAAGTTATATTGGTTTGATTAAAAGTAACAGTGTCTGTATTTCAATTTTTAAAAAAAGAAATGGTTAGAAATGTCGAGTGTGTACCGATGGATCTCCGCCTGCTACTGCTGCAGTTTGCGGCTGAGTCTATATCAAAGTAGCAAGAATTTTCCTCTATACATCCGTGTAGTCTAAACTCTTCTGATATAATGTTTTGCACTTCTTGTTTTTGTGTTTTGTTATTGCAATCCACAGCAAATGTGGTCACAAGCGTTGGCTCAACTTCTATAGGCACTTTCATTTCTGGGGAAATAAAAGTTCAAAGTAAAAAAAAAACATATTTTATAGATAATAGTAAGTACGCAAAATATAGTTACTGCAAATAGATACGAATTAATACAACATAATACCTGTACAATCAGGAAGTAAGCCAGTAGGATTATCAATAGTCTGATGAGACCAGGTGTAATTCGTTATTGCTCCACACGTGAAGGTGTTCTCAAAATCTATAACCATAGTGCCGGGAGCACAGACTATATTACAGATTAGCATTTGATCTTCTGTAGAATTTGAACAGTTCAAAGATGTGTGCCATGTCCGCAATTCTGGCAATTTACATTCTAAAGATTTTAAGAACAAACACGAGGTATAAATAAAAAAAAATCAATACACACATTGCTATTAAAACGTTAGAATTGTTATATTGTTATGACAGAGTACTAAGAAAACTCCAAAATTACCAGGACAAGTTTTAGCATTACAAACGATTTTCTCAACAGCCAGTGAACTGTCACACTGCTCCCCGCCGTTACTTGGTGGAGGATTGTCACAAAGCCGTCTTCTGGTGGAAGTGCCCCCTCCACACGTAGCGCTGCACTGTGACCATTCGGACCATGCGCCAAAGTTACCGTTCACTGTGTCAAAATCGTAGAAGCATATGTGAAAATGTACACTAAATAATTTTCACATACATTTTTTCAAGAAAAAAGCTTTTACTATATTGATAAAAACAAAAAACAATTTACATATGAAAAAATGTATCGTAAGTAAAATATCATTTTAGTTTAGTTTAGCTTTACTAAATCCAAACGCTGGCATGGTTATACTAAAAGCTTGAGCGCTCACTAAAGCATAAAATATTCCCTTTCGTACGAAGCTCCTTAATAATGCTACGTTCTATAACGTAATATACGACTTTTTTCAATGTTCATCATCGAGCGGAGAGGCTTTTGGGTTGTTAAGTTGTGAAACATAAAAAGTTAAATTATTAGTTAGACAACAAAACAAACCATCCAGGTCATTCATGTTACATCGTACTAATCAAGTTCACAGCTAATAATATTTTATTTTAAAAATGGTTTTAACTCCATAGAGATAATTAATCAGAGAACGTATGTTAAATAACTTCATATAAAACGTCAAAAAAATCCCTTTTTACAAATATCTGTGCCTAAGTTATTTTTACAACCTGCTCTTACTATTTAGGTACGGATTAAATTGAATAGAATGCGGAATAAAGACTACATGTTTTTCTCGTTGTAACGAGCTATTAGGTGTGCCTTTGTAAACACACCTCAGTAAAGATACTTGTTGATTTGAATTGGCTAATTTCGCTAACGTCTCGCTAGTACACGTGACATTATAAAACGAAATTCAGAAATTTTCACTAAGGAATAAGTACTTTTTTTACTTTTAAAATAAATTACCTGGACATGCTGTGAGATTGCATTGAACAACTGTTTGAACCAGTCCTCTGCAAGGCATACCATCGCCTACTGAATCCTGTAAAATGTTTCTTGTTCGTATAGCTTGTTGGTCTCCGCAGGTCCCAGAACATGGAGAAGTTACCCACTCACTCCACTGACAGTCTTTTTATGTAATCATAACGTAAAGGTTTACACCTAATACGCTTAGTAACAATACATGTAATATTTAAAACTCTATATTTCTTTAGGTACCTTCATGGTTAACAATACAACGTTGAATCTTAACTTAAAATAGTCTTTTACCAGAGATTACCAGAAAAATGGCATGAAACCTGTGTTTATAGCAGTTTATTACAAAACATGTGCGATGTTAAAATATAATCTTACCTTGACATGCACTCTTACACACTTCTGTTTCCGTACCACCACCTAGACACCCGTCAGTCCCGGGACTGTTACACTGTCGGGTTCTTGTCCTCTCGCCTGACCCACAGGCAGATGAACATTTCGACCAGGAGCTCCACGCACCCCAGCTTGTAAGTTGACGCGTTACTTAGAAAAATAATTTCAAACACTGGCACAACACAACCAAAAATTTTCTCGAGAGATAAAAAACAGTTTATGTATTTTGACTATGTCTGTCTAAAGTTTTTTTCATGCAATTTACAAATACTAGCATACAAAGACAAAGCAAGAAGATATATTTGTAAAATCTTCATAGACTGACCTATTTTCTTGTTACACAAGACTCCGTAGAACCCAGGTGAACAAGCACAGGTGTAGGCTTTATTCTCAGGCCTGCTGATACAAGATGACCCGTTGGCACACAAGTTGTCAGCACAGAAATTTGTGACATTCTGGCACCTGTCACCTGACCAAGGACTGTCACACAGGCAGGTCAGCGTTTGGCTACCGACTACACAGACGCCATTTTGGCCGCAAGGTCGATCAGAGCAAAAGTTGTTGTCTAATCGTGGACAAATATTCTTTCATATTAAAATGTAAATTACTTAATTAATATTTTTATTACTTTCCTTAAACTCAATTTTAATTATTTATGTGATTAGATATATTGGTGTATATTAATCTAATGTTAGTTTTAACATTATCATCTAAGTTTACAATTTCAGTTTAGTTCGTAATCTATTCGTTTTCCAACATGATATAATGGTACTGTTTTATTTCAATAAACGCATCTCTTTTAAGACATTAATCATTTGAAATGTATCTATTAAAATTTGAAATGATTATTTACCTGTGCTCACTGGCTTAAACCGCTAGTCTAACCTTGATTTCTCTGATATAGCAAATTCTTAAGCAAAAAACTCAACGGTTGTATACTTATACTAGCTGCATACCCGTGCTCCGCCACGGTAAATCTTTTTAAATGTAACAACTTGGGAACAGAACAAAACTAAACACAAAACAAACATAACACAAAAGAAAACACAAACACAACACAACCACAAAAGAAAACACAAACACAAAGCAAACACAAATGAAAACACAAATGCAACACACAAACACAAAAGAAAAAACAAACGCAAATAAAAACACAAATGAAAACACCAACATTATGCAAACACAAACCCAAAAAAACACAAACGAAAAAACAAACACAACACTCATAACATAAACACAACTTAAATGCAAACATAAACGCATAATGCTCACAGTTTAGCCCGTGGCGCCAAATCGAACCCTGTCCAAGCGCCGGCGGACGCGCCTGATTCAGTGAATGACTATAAAACCCCCAGCTTGTCCGCAAACGGAATGTTAGATTAATAATTAGTAAATAGTACTTTCAGTGTAGAAAATAAATAAAAGGCAATATTTAAAATATCCGTGTTTTGTACTATATCAATTCATGCATTTTTTTCAGTACTCTAAATTTTAAAAATTTACAATAGTTTCGTGACTAAAACCATAGCGCACCTAATGAACTTGATGACGTGTCTATAAAAGTGCAAAATAGTTGATTAAAAATTATAATTAATAAACAGGACGTTTAGTGAATAAAAGAAATAAAAGATAGCTTTTTATCAATCCATGCTAATTATAATTTTCCAACAATAATGTCCTCTTACAATAATGTCATTTGCGGATTTGCATTCACATTTTGCTAATTATATAATTCCAACAATAATTCCCTTTTCGAGATTTTGCATTCACATTTTTGTATTAGCGTGAGTTGAATTTATTTTTAGATTACCTCCCTTGGCAAAATTACAAAACAGTTTAATTAATTAATTAGATAATTCGACCTTACTTTTATTGAAATGTATCAACTTTTTATGGGAATCAAAACGACAATTATATTTGACATTGATCCGTTTAATATGTTTTAGCAATTTGCGTGTATTTAATATTTTCTTTACGTTATGCAAAAGAGTAAAAACTGTGGCAACTCTAAAATATATTTTAGTCGTTGTAAAAATAAACCCTACTATAATACTTATAATAAGACACTGCGATGCACTGAAAAGCACTGCGTCACTGTGTGATGTTTTCTTTTATGGTTCCAAAATCTATAGCGATGACACGAGGTCTTACACACTACCAGTCCGCTTATATCATAGATAACTAAAACATTTAGTAAGAAAGGATGTATTACATTAATCTGTTAAAGTAAGTTCTTGATGTGACATAAAATCAAATCAAACTTTTTCAGTTATTACCACTGCAGGAGCTTGGTGTCATCAATGTTATGCCAAAAGGGTCCGGAGCTAAGACTTGTTTGTCGACCTGTTTGGTACAGGAGAGGCTAAACTCTTTGATTTGAGAGGCTGAGTAAAATGTGGTCGTCATCTGTATGCCGCTTGTTACAATATCTGAGCAGAACACAATTGTATTTTTTTCAATTCCAATCAAATGTAAAATCATTATTATATTCTTCATTTTACTTTCTTTTGTAATGCACTGAAAATATCTCCTGCTACTAAAAATAATAAGACTACTTTAAAAAGTTATGAAACAAGCGTTAGAGTAGCTTAATTGTTTAGTGGAATACTGTTTAAAATTATTAAAATTTAATATGTGTAGCTACTTTGCATACAAAGACGGATAAAACCGCTGTATTTCCTTAAAATTAACTTACAGGGGATATCTTTAGATTTTTTGAAGTACAGAGACTTCTTGTTTAGATTTGTGAAGTTCAAGCCTGTAGAAAAATAGATCTGCTGGCCATTAAGGTACACTGTTCCATTTCCGCTTGAGTATGTCAGAGCCACATGATTCCATTTTCTGAAAATAAAATTCTAACCACTTCAATATTCCATTGTTAGATGTCTAGAATGTATTACAGAAAAAAAGTCTAAAATAGAAAAACAAATCAGATATTCGTGGATCATTTGTATTACTGTTTTCTTTAAGTGTTAAACAGTTTGTGCAAAATTCGATTCTAATTTTAGAATATACCTTTAAAAAATACTACCTTAGGGTTCTGTTAGAGTCAACAGTTTCTGGAACTATGTTGACTACAAACTGGTCTAGAGAGAATTTCGCTGTGTTGTTATTTACAATGTTTAGTGATGAAATTGTTACATCCGATATCCAGGTCATAAATGAGAATCTTTTTGGTACTGCATCAAAGATTTGGATTACTGGGCCTGTGCTGTTTTCTGTTAGCTTAACATCATAGACTGTTGACATATTACAGATACCCTATTATGCTAATAATATTTAAAAATGGAAGTTAGGATATATTAATTAATGTCGATAATTATGAGATTTTCATGAAAATACAACTAGAATGCGAGATAATTTTGTCAGACGTAAAATGAGAACTGAAACAAAAAGGTATATTATAAGCGCATCTTGAATTAAACTAAAAATATTACTCACACTTGCAGTTGGCTTGTGACGTTTGTCCGGGTAATGTCGTCGAGGTTCCATAAGGACATTTGTTGCAGAGTGTCATACCAATAGCAGACTGGTATGTGCCGGTAGGACATGGCTGACAGGGTTTAATGCCAGTCTGTGACACAGAGCCAGCGGTGCATAAATCTAAGCCAGGGACAGAATAGTTACTAACAAATATGATTTTATTTCAGTAATTACTACTTAAAATAACATTATAGTTTACTAGTATTTATATTCAATAAATTAATTTTAAACTAGTCTACTTACCTTATTTTAAAAAATACAAATTTTAGATATACAATTTTGTTTAAGTAAAAGTGTAAGTTTTGATTCAAATTATTATTTCCTCACAACAAATTAAGGTTCATACAGCAAAAGTTTCAAGAAACGAAAAACACTCAAACAAATACCACGACTGTAAAACATTATTTACCAAGACATTGGTTGAGAGCTGTAGAGCCTTTGTTCTTTGTCGTTTTACCAACAGGACAAGGCGTGCATGAAAAAGCAACTTCCTGGTCCTGATATGTCCCCACAGGACACGCCTGGCAAGATTCAGTTTCGTTGTTGAATATGTAGCCCGTTCCACATCCAGCTAAAAGCACAAATACATTTAAAACAAGTTAATAAAAAGTCTAGTGATAATTTAAGCGCAATTTCCTTATGTTATCCACATCAATTTTTAATTTTTTGTGACCGAACGAAACGATAGTTTTTTGCGCTAAAAAAGACAACTATATTAACCTATATCAACGGAAATAGTTTTATTTTAACGAGTAGGCCTACACGATGCTCAGTTTTAAAAAAAAAGTAGTAAATATCATCCTAGGCCTACACGATGCTCAGTTTTAAAAAGTAGTAACTATTTCTTTGTGACCGAACGAAAGGATATTTTTGAAAACTTTCTTCGGAAATATTGTTCTAAATTATGGCAGGAATCGATTGGTAAATGTTTCAAGTCGCTAAGTGGTCGGGTTGCCGACATATGGGCCAAAAACTGCATTTTTTCGAGGTTTTTTGGCTTTTCCGGGAAATCCAGGAAGGAATTCCGGGAATTTGTTTAGCCCACAATCATCCTCGGAACTTGCTTAACATATTTGCTTTGGAACTAGTCCTCGATATTGCTTCATTGAGGAGGAGATACGACTTAAAGCTGCGGACACACATCTACCCATTGCGGACACACATCCATCCATCCATCCAGAAATGACGAGTTAATAATCGCAATTCCTGTAGGAAATTGCGCTAAAAATTACTCAATGAAAAAAAAATTATCAAAATAAATAAAAAACGGTAATGGGTCAATGAAAAGATCACTAATGCAATTGGTCCTTTCGAGAGTTTACTGAACATAGTCACATAAGGAAGATGTGTAAGTATGGGGGTGTCACGCGAACCAACAACAATATTTCAGAGCGCGGTACCAAAGGGAGTACAAGGGTAAGATAAAGCCGTCAATTGATAAGGGAAATTAAACGTTGGACGGGACAGCCCGACGAATAATTACTCAGAGCAGCAGAGAACCGAGACGGCGAAAAATTATGAAAAAAAACTAGCGTGCCCGTCCTCGAGCGTTGCCGCGGGGTTAGAAGAAATTCCGATGATAGCCCTTGGCAAATCGCACCCTACTGGAGCGTCAGCAAACGCGCCTAATTCAGTTTAGTAAACGACCATAATGCCCTATTGTATCCATAGTGTATGGCAATGTTTAAAACGAACGTATGCGTCTAAAGTCTAAGCGCTCACGAGATAACCCTGGGCGCCAAAATAGCACCCTGCTGTGACGAAGCCCGTGCGAAATTGAAAATTTAAATTTTTCGCACAAATCTCATTAGGAGTATTCTCAACAACTTTCCAATGTTTCATTGCGATCTGATTAAAGTTGTAATTGTGCATAACCTACACTACAGATTAGCACGCGAAAGTGTGTGCCGTATGAAAGCTTAACGAGTACATTCATCACTCACCGTAATATCTCCGTTAATCACTCACTGTCTAAGTGTCGGGGACGTAGAGGGGCGCTCTCATGAGCCCTCGATTACACTACCGCAGGGGCGCCGGGTACGTCCCTTGCTCAGTTTAATCATCCCATGTCGTGTGCCGCCTTGTCATTATTGTAGGGTGTTCCTTAAAATTAACGTAGGTGCGTAGTGCTCATAGGATAGCGCAGGGCGCAAAATCACAGCTTGCCGATGTGCCGGTCGACGCGCCTAATTATGTTTAGGAAACATTTATAATGCCACATTGTATCCATAGCGTATCGCACTGTTTAAAACGAACATAGGCGCTATAGCGATCACGGGATAGTCCGGTTTCGTCAAATCGCACCCTGCAGAGACGCCGGAGGACGACCCTGATTCAATATATTGATCGACTGTAGCAACTTATTGTATTCATATCCTGTTTAAAATAAATGTAGGCACCATGTTGCGCCAAATCGCCTCGTGACATGGCGCCGTAGAACACGCCTGATTCGATAAATTTAACAATTATTGCTGCTCATTGTGTCTTTAGTGTAAGACATTTTTTTAAACGAACATAGAAGCCATAGTGCTCACACGGGAGCCCTGAGCGCTTCGGTTCGCGCAATCGACGGGTCGCCGGCGGTTGCGTCTATTGCAGTTTCACCGCAGAATATAGTAGTACCCCTTACCATCTATGTAGGACGCCCGATTAATGGATATCAAGTGCTAACATAGCCGCTCTGGGTGCAAAACCGTGTATTGACGAAAATAGCTATCTCCCGGGCACCGCTCATAAGTATTTTCATCATCTACTCCCCAAATTTTCATGTACTCGGATGAACAGTGTTCAACCGCATCCGACCAGTATTGTTAATAAACCACAGGTAGAGAAAAATCGCACCCTCCCTGGGCGCCGCCCTTGCAAAATTCAAAACAAATGTTTTGCAGAAGCCTCCCCTGGAATGTTCTAAGCAACACCCCAAAGTTTCATGGTGATCGCATGAACGGTGTCCAACTGAAATCGACTTTTATTGTTATATACCGTATATAGAGAAGAATCGAATCGCGCCTGCCAGGGGCGCCACCCCTGCAAATATGAAATTCTTTTTTCGCAGATATCTAGCCTGGAATATTATCAACAATTAGCAAAGTTTCATTACTAGCGGATGAAATTTGTATTCATGCATAACAAACAGACACACGCACACACACATACATTGCTCTCTCTCTCTCTCTCTCTCTCTCTATATATATATATATATATATATATATATATATATATATATATATATATATATATAAACTGTGGTGCCCAACGACCCCTATACGGGTTAAGTAATTATTGAATGATTAAGTAATGTAAGCAGCAATATATTTTGTATTCTCACTACTTAAAGATTCATAAAATGAATACAGTTATCTATTTTTTATATCAATGCCTACTACCAGCATAAAAAATGTTTTGCTAAAACAATTTGTATGTACCGCATGCCATTGTTCTCTGCACCATTTTAGTCCCTGGTTCACATTTAAGTCCTACTTGACCATATTCAAACATGTCAAAAGTGCCGATACTGGGTACATTCAGGAGACCTGCATCAGCTTTAGCTTGAACTTTGTAATTGATGCCCATCACAATGTCGTCATAGTACTTGAACGTAGATTCAGCGTCACCCTTATATTTATATTCACCAATATTGATGGTTGCAGTGATCTACAATGTAAAGTACATTCTGTGTACATAATTTATCACTTGTAGCATGATAATGTCTAATTAACACATGTTTGAAATTTTAAGTTAATATTTAGTATAAGATGTTCAAACTTCATGTTATTCAAACACAGGAGTCACTTAACGTGCTTTAATCAACCAGTAATATAAACGGAACGTTATATTGTAACGGCAAGAGTAGACAGAGGTACAGAACATAGTCCAAGTAGAGACAGAGCAGTTTTTAACCCAACGGGATCCGAACCACGCGGCATCAAGACAGACTTGTAACCACTTCAGCCAATCAAGTGGTTATACGTCTGACTTGATGCATGGACGGCGAGGCAATTTAGTACCTCATGGAATGGTAGGTTCGGGTCCCGTTGGGTTAAAACTCTTCTGTCTCTACTTTGACTATATTCTGTCTCTCTGTCTACCCTTGGGGTTGAAATATCGTTTTCTGTTTATATTGCTATTTAAGTAACAACGCCTGCTTCCATCCTCTTTACACCTTTATTCAACCACAACCTGACGTTATTGTGTTTTATTTATAACTAGGCACGCTGCCCAGCTTCGCTTAGGCTTTCGAAAACATTGAGAATTTGAATGCTTAATTAATTCGCCCGAGGGTCGGTCTACGACCTAAAGACTTATGAAGAGGTTCCTCCGTGGACATTTTTTTTTCGATTTATAGCTCATATAAGGCACCGGTCAGTCGAAGTCAGTTTTGACCCCCTCATCGTAGACTTTTCGGCCCACCGGCCCCCGTGTTCTGTCGCCCCAAGGCAAGATCCTGCCAAATTTGAAGCGCCTGCGGCGCCGGGAAGTGCCCTATCGGACACCCGACAATCTAGATCTAGATCTAGAATCCTAATGGAATTTTTTTTTAAGTTTAGCCCGAGCATAATAAAAAAAATACATTAACCAAGTTGACTTGGTGTGTCTCGAACCCGCACCACCTGCGTGGTTTAAAGTACACTAACATATCCGCTATTTAGGCACCTTATAAAATACGGAGAACGAAACACGTATTTTAAAATCTTAACTCACGCGAATATGCCTATTCTTTCAAATACATTTTTGTATCCCAAATTAGCCAGTTCCAAACAAAGATTTTGTATAAAATAAATAAGTCTTGAAATAGTTTAGTCCTAATATAGAAATTTATTTTTAGAATAGATTTTAGAGAAGTTAGAGTCTAAATCTAGATCTTAGCGTCTACGTCTAGTTATTGCGTAGATTTAGATTTAGTCTAGATCTAGAATCTCTAGTTCTAGAATCCAAATAAATAAAATAAATTTTATGAGTTTAGGCCGGAAAAATTGTGTGGTATACATTTCATAGTGTACGTAGATCTAAATCAAATTTGAATGAAATAGTTCATTTCTTTTTTTTGTAAACACGGCAGATGATGTCATTAATGTATAAACATTAGTGACGTCACAGTTTTATGCGTTCTTTTTCACATCTATAAATGCTTTTCCGGTTGCATAAATAATACTGTTTCTCTACATTCGAATACGCCTTTATTTTTTATTTTTCTTCTTTAAATAAAACTGTGGTTATACATTTTAAACATCTAACATATTATTTTCAACAAAAGTCCGTATAAAGGTATCCATGTATTGCTGCCGATTCTCACTTGATGTCCGGCGAAAATATTTTGCAGACAGAGAGAGAGAGAGAAGAGCGCACATGGGCTTTTATATATTAGGATGTATACAGACATAACTTATTGTATTTAGTGCCATCTAGAAAGAACTAATATATTTTTTTTACCTTATATTCTGTAGAGGAACTGCTTGTGTCTCTCTTCCGTCTACGGGCAATAATGCCACATGACACTGACACCGTGTCCACAGTACATGGAAAGTGTTCTGAACACAGATCTCTGAATATACTGCTAGAAACAGCTTCAACAAAGTTGCCCTTGATGTCAGCGCTATCACTAGAACACGTTCCAGTGTAGTAGTAAAATACAAGATCGGTCTCTACATTGACTACTTTTCGTCTAGCTGTTTAAGGTGAAATAAAACATCAAAGTTAATAGACAGATAATTGTAAATAAGCTTTCTTGCCTTAAAAATAATAATTTAATTTCAGTTTTTAGATTACAACTTACAAGTTAAAGTAATGAGACAACATTACATTACGACCAAATTTAATAAGCATACTCTGTTTTATCTTAAAATGTATAAAATGACTAGCAATGTGAATTCGACCAACCGACACAATCCCGTGTTGCTTCTCCAGGTGACCAGGTACCATTGCCCTTCACACAGGAAAATTGAAAAGGATCTTGATAAGGCCAGGAATAGTTTTCATTGCACATCAGAGTGCAAATTTCACTGCCACCACCAAGCAAATCACACGAAAGAGCACCATTATTTGGGACTCTTAATTTACTGCAGGTCTTTGCTGTAAATATTATAAAGGTGTTCATAATGTTAATATGACTACGTAAGCCCGTTGTATTTCTAAATTATTTTATCATACATTTGGGATTAGAGAAAATATTTAACTGTACCAATATGACAGTATAGTTAGTAGACTTACGGTCGCAAATTGGACGGGAGTTTCCTTCCATTTTCCATTGTACACTATTGTTGCCATCTACTTTCTCGCATCTGATCTGGGTGGGGCCAGTTATCGGGTTTCCATTCATGCAAGATAAGTCGCAGGAAGACCCAAACACATATTGATCAGAGCAGTTATACCTAATCAGATTTTTTCCTGACGTATCAATGTTGGGGGCGTCGCATGATATAGCTTTGAGTATTATTTTTGAAAAGAAAAGAGTTATAAATTAATAACCAGGGGAGCGTGGTAAGAAGTGGGACAGAGCATTATTTTAGTCATTTTGGACACAAATTTCAAAAACAAAACTACTCAGCCGTTCATTATATAACATTAAGTTCTAATTTTAACGGAATGGTTTCATGTTAACGGTCAAGTGCGAAGTCTTTACTTTATATTTTTAAGTATTTAAACCATCTCTTGATGTAATAATATTACTAAATTACTAAATAGACATCTGTATACTACTAAAAGAGAGAAGTTTGTATATTTTATTATTTTTGTGTCTATTCATTTAGAGATAAAAGCATCTGCACTATGTGTAGAACTGTAAATTACGTATTTATGTTTTGAGTAATGTTCTTTTTCCCAAACTGTTAAACACACATTTATTTACAGAAATTAAATAATTAATTTCATGTATAGTACTTTATTTTCAGAAAAAATATAAACGTCCACAGGCTTATTGACGTCACTTGATTTATTTATTTATTTTTACAAAAAATATTGTGGCTTCCATGGTATGCCTTGTAGGCAATTTAAAAGTTTAACGCATTATAAAGCTAAATGCACAGTGTGAAATCACAAGAGACGTGATTTGTTTTAAATCATAAATATTAGTTTGACGTTAACCTTAATAATTTATTCATTTATTATTCAAATAAGGTTCGAGCTCAGAAAATATTATAGAAATAAAACGATTTTTTAAAAAGATAAAAACATGTAAGCTGAGGTGTGAATGCTTTTTTGTGAGGTTGTGTGACAATGGGGGGGGGGGGGGGGAGATAAAGATCGTCAACTAAACAGTTATCCAGGGATAACGGGTAGTCAAGCATATTATAATCAACAGACAGGACGCAAGTACATTAGAAAAACAGCAAAGACTCATGCTGACCAAAAAGATATCTTTGGTGTTGTTAAAAGTGTTTTGAAAGGAGAAAGCGTGAGCTTTTTAGCAGACAATCGTTGACTCTCCCCGTCTGCACAGCATTGCTTTGTCGCTAAGCATGGACAATCGATGGGCTTCGTTTTGCAAGAAGAATCAGAGTTGTATGTGTTCCTTTGCTCTACCGTATGCTTCAGTTTTACCACTGAAATTGCAAGAAGCCTACCATACCAGATGGCAGTTGTCAGAAACATAAATTTCCTTCTGCCTTGGGAAAAAAAAATAAAAGCAAAGCAAGTGGAGCAAGCGTTGATAGAGTTTGACACAAAAAGTATAAAAGATTTTATGTATTTTAGTAAGATAGACGAAGTGGGGGATTATGAAGTAGTATACATCAAAAAGAAGGTTGTCCTTAAAACTGACTCTCTCCTAAACAGAAAATATAGGCTTTTGTTAAAAGGTATTAGGGCAATAAACGTTTTTAGCAAGAATGTTTACACAAACGTTATCTCTTTTATGATTAGGAATAGGATTAGTTCGTGCGAGAACTAAAATACGATCTCTACTTACTCTTGACTACAACAAAGAATGAACATTTGGATTGAAGACCCAGTGTGTCGGTCGCAGTGACCGTTACTTTAGTGGACCCCGGTGCGAAGATAGTTCGGGACACCGGCTCTGACTTTACTATGACACCGTCGCCTGAATTGTCAACAGCTACTGGCAGTGTAAAGCTAACATATGTGGGCTGTCCAGCTGCAGAGGCAATAACTTCGAGGTCGTGAGTACATCCATTGGGAAATGTTGGTGGCTGGGTATCTGTAAATAATTTATTAAATAATATGGATTATAAAGAAAGAACAAACGTTGTTACACTAGCTTCATTATCCACACACAACCACTTACCCAGCAACATTAATACCACTCGACAGGCCATTCACCAAACAATACACGAAATAAAACGCAGTAGAAATATTTAGAAGAGATTGAAAGGGAGTAGAAAGGATTGTTATTGATTGGAGAGTAGTTTAGTAGAGATGAGAGGAGATGTAGTGATCTTTTAACTATCACCATGGTCCATGAGTTCATTTAAAAGAGTGCGATAAGCTGTTGGGAAAAAGAGTTACAATAGTCGTTCACTAACTCGATACTAAAGCGTCCTCCGGCGCCAGGACAGGGTGCTTTTGGCGCCCCGTGCCTTCAGGTGAGCGCTAAAGCGCATACGTTCGTTTAAGTGAGTGCAATAGACTATGGATAAGTTGGGGTATTACAGTCGTTTACTAAGTTAAATCAGGCGGTTCCACCGGCGCCCCGGCAGGGTGCGATGTTGGAGCTTTTGGCCCCTCGGACTAGACTGTGAGCACTTTGCGTTTATACTTTCATTTGAGTTTTTGTTTATGTTCTGCGTTATTACTTGCGTTTAGATTTGCGTTTTTGTTTGCGTTTGTGTTTTTGTTTGCTTTTGTAATTGCGTTTGTTTTTGCGTTTTTGTTTCTGTTGGAATTTGCATTTGCGTTTGCTTTTGTGTTTGTGTTTGCGTTTTTGTTTGGGTATGTGTTTTTGTTTAGGTTTGTGTTTGCGTTTTATTTTGGATTTGTGTTTGTGTTTGCGTTATATTTGTGTCTGTTTTTGTTTTGGATTTGGTTGATTATTTTTAAGATTAATTCGAAAAGTAATATATTTCCTAAACCCTAGAATTTCATTGTTTGACGTTCACTTGGTGTGCAATTTTACTTAAAATCATGTCTATATACCCAGTTGCCATTCCCAGTAGTGTTATATTAGAAAAATTTTAAAAGTTTAGGGGTGTAAGGGAGATACTTCCCGCTTTATTTTTATTTGCCTGTGCTTCTATTTAGTAGTTATAAAATTGTGACCTGATGTAATTGTGTATGTCGTTTTTTTTTTACATTAAGAGCTGTAAATAGATAAAACTTTTATCCTCACTGTAGCAGAAGCAGACCGTAATTTTTAAATAGTTTACGCACAGAGTAAACATTGTGTGACAGTAAAATTTATCCCGATTCTCATGCAGGGAGTTTATTTAACCTTTTAA